GTGTGCCTTTTCCTACCAGACTGCACAAGCTCCTTGAGAGCCAGGCTCTTGGCATCCCATCACTGCCTTTGTTACCAACATAGTCACTGTAATTTATACCTGGTGACTGTTCCATAAAGCAGTGTGGAGTAGATAAAGAAACAGACCTAAGCTCACTATTTGATATTTGTATTGCTGGTAGCAATACTGTGAAGAAGCTTGCTTTCTTGTCCAAACTCCATAATGATGTTGGTTCATTGGTAAAAAGCTATTTCCATCTGGACTAGATTCCTGAGGGGGGTGGGGACTAGCTTTTTAATAGAGAGCTGGCAAAATCACACCCAGAAGAGCAGATCCAGTGGTTTATAGACAATGGAAATGCCAAAGGCACATTCGTTTGGGCTGGATTATTTTCATTTCTCCCTTACCAGATGCCATGTAAAATAAACAAAAGTTCTTGATCCTGGAAAGAGCAATTAAAAATCAAACCTTTCATCCTTTTAGAATGCTTCAGGGACTGGAGAGATGAGATGGCTCATTGGTTAAGAGCACTGGCTGCTCTTCCAGAGGATTAGGGTTCAATTCCCAGCACCCACATGGTGGCTTACAACCCTCTATAACTCCAGTCCTAGGGGATCTGACACCCTCTTCTGGCCTCTGTGGGCACTGAATGCTCGTGGTACACAGACATACATGGAAGCAAAGCACCCATATATATAATATTTTTAAATAAAAAAAATTTTAAAGAATATTTTAACCTGTAAACATCACAGTTCTGTTTCCTAGATGGCCAGTGTACACACTCTCCTCCAACACAGCTGGCCGCTCCTTCCACATTTTTCTGGTGGAAGAACTGGCAGCTGCCATTCCCCTTTGGCATTGCCTCCCTAAGTCCGTTCCCAATAAACTAGAGTCTGTCAGTCAGCAGGTGTCGGTTCCTCCACAACTCTATTTCCAAAAGCTTTGACAGAGGACTGGAGAGCTGGCTAAGCAGTTATGAGCACTGGTTGCTCTTTCAGAGGACCCAGGTTCAATTCCCAGCACCCGAATGGCAGCTCACGATTGTCTGTAACTCCAGTTCCAAGGGATCTGACACCCTCACACAGACATGCATGCAGACAAAACATCAATACACACAAAATAAAAAAAATAAAAATAAAATCTTTTAAAAAAAAAAGCTTTGTCAGATATTTGGATTACTAAGGCTTGGGTTCTGCTATAGTCTGAATGGTAAAGGTACAGCAAAGGTCCATGTTTCAAAGCCTTGGTCCCTACTGTGACATTACTGAGAGGCAGTGGAACCTTTGAGAGGTGGGACCTAACGGAAGTACTTTAGGTCATGGAGGTATAATCTTGAAGAACAATATGGAATACAGGCCTCTTCTTCCTGCCTCCTAACCAAAGGCACACAATGCTTCTAACATGACATGTGCCTTAGCCAAGGCCAGAGGGAGAACTGGTATACCCAACTGTGGGCCTTTTCTCATAGATTCTGTAGTAATACAAGTTTATCATTTCATGTGTTTGGGGGCTTTTCTCTCCCTTTGTTTGTTTGTTGTTTGCATGGGTTTTTTTGGTGGTGTTGGTGTTGGTTG